GAAGAACGTAGAGGCTGGGTGCCTGGGGAGAGGCTGGCTAGTAAGCTAGGCACAGGGAGGGCTAAGGCAGAGTCAAGGGCAAAAAAGACAAGATTGGGGTTGCATCCCCATCTCACCCTGAATGCTACTTCCTGACGCCTCCATCTCAGGACCCGAAAGAACACAGGGTAGGGTGGGTCCAGGGTGTAGGGACATCAGCCAGATAGTGAGTCAGGAGGACCAAGGCTGGCGGGTGACCTCACTCTTAGTCACCAGGAGTGGAGGTGGAGGGAGCAGTGGTCTGAGGCCCCAGTTCCTGCTGTCACCCATGCTCCCGCTGGGCAGGGGTGGGGAAGCTGCTAAGTATGTCTGTCTTCCCAGACCACAGTGGGTGCCCTGGGTGAGGAACTCACCCTTCCTTTGAAAAGGCGTAAGGGCCACACTTTCCACTCAAGGAGGGAAATGGCCTCAACTTGGCCAGGCCCCCAGCTGTCAGCCCAGAAATGTAAAGGAGGGCTGACCCCTTACCCCACCAGCCCTGGCGTTTTAGATCCAGAGTAAGTCAGGCTGTCATGATATTTGGGGAGGCTGGAGGATGGTCCTGCCAAATCTTGGTGAGGGTTCTGTGTGATAGACTGTATGCCAGGACACAAACCTGAGCACAGTCCCCATAGTCAGCCTATGCAGTCAAGGCACCAGCAGGCTCTTCCACAACAATGAGAATGAGACACGTGAGTACTCAATACCAGAAGAAGCAGGTGATAGCAGAGGCTATCCGGGGTGACTGTGGAAGGCCTCTAAAGAGGGAGCCTGACCTGCCTGGGAGGAACATTTTAGAGCCTGGGGACAGCAGATGCAAAGGTGCTGGGCAGAGTGTTATCCGGGACATTTGAGGCCAGTGGGCCTGGGTGAAGACAGGATGGGCTGCCTTTGCCTGGATGAGTTGGAAGCCACAAGCTTGTCTCCCCTCATTCCCATCTTTTCTCTATTCTCAGGCCCCGTGGAGAACTGACTCCCCAAAGACCCAGCCCCTTTGCACCCCAAGAAGAGGGTTTGCGAGCAGAATCTTGTGTAGACGATGGAGCCGTTGCCCCTGATGTGGACACAGCCTCTGGGGAGGCGCCTGAGGCTGGGCCCTCCTCCTCCTCCACCATATGCCAAACAGGAGGCCCAGGCCCTCCACCTCCACCCAGCCCCCCAGATGGGTCCCCTGATCCCCTGGACTCCCTTGGAGCCACATGAGGCAGGAAGCCCCATCGCTGGACAGCCACGTTTCTTGGAACTGAACTGAACTCTTTTGGGCCCGGAGCCCCTGGCACAGCAGAGGCCCCTCCTGACTCACTTCTGGCCTCATAAGGGCCACTGGCTTCAGGAACCTGGGCCCCCATCTTGCGTCTCCCCTTCCCCCAAGCCTGGCCCCCAGAGGGGCCTCTGATTCAAACCTTCACGTGACATTTTCACATTATTTAAAAAAGACAAAAACAAATTTTGGAGGAAAACGGGGCCTGTGTGTGTTTGGGGAGGTGGGTGGAAGATGCCAGTAGACACTGCATGGAAGTCACTGTCTTCCTCACAGCCCCCAAGGCAACGTGCCTGCGGAGCTTGCCTGCCTTTCCCTTCCTCGCTCCGGGTCTGCTCCTCATGGCCTGTGCCATTGGTGGCAGCCTCAACTTACCAGCCCATGTTCTAGGAGGAGGCAGTGATGGCTTGGGACCAGGCAGTTGTGGTAACCATGTTCTTCAGGGTCTGGAAGCTATCAGAGGGCCAGACCAGGTGGTGGTGGTGGTGGGAAGGTACTCAGAACCCATCTGCTGAAACTCAGCTGAGTCATCTGCTAGCCACTGCCTGGCCTGCCTGCCCATGCTGGCCTGTCTCTCATTTCTCCCCGTTCCTGCCCACCTCCTGGGCAGGCACACAAATACTGTCTCTCTGTGATCATGCACACACCTACCCACCCCCTCTATCCCTGGACACTGTTTTTCGCCTGCCCAAGTGCTTGTGTCTCTGTTCAGTCTTCCTCGCAGTGACCTATGACTGCTGCTCTGGTTTCTTCCTGTTACTGTGTTCTCCTGTGCCTCTCTCTGCCTCGGCTACACCTTGGGTTTTGTCCCCGTTTTCTCTCCCTCCCTTCCTCCTGTGGCTGCCTATTCCTTAGCTTCTCTGTGGCTGGGCTGTTGGTGTCTCTTGAGTTGGGTACCTCATCCCCAACACTGGGGACCAGATTTATTTATTGTACATGCAGGGAGTGAATTTACATGGTGGAAGGCCAGGGCAAGCAGTGGTTTTGAGTAGGATGGTCTACCCTATAATTACAGTGACAGGACATAGGGGTCACAGAAGACCTTAAGAAGGGCTCTCCCTCCTCACAGGCTTGTTGCCTAGCAAATTCCTAATTCACAGAATGAGGGTTATAGCCCTAATGCCAAGACAGAGAGGAGGCCTAAGATCAGGATCTGTGTGTGTGTGTGTGTGTGTGTGTGTGCTGGAACCCATTGTGCAGACCAGGCTGGCCTCACACACAGCAATTAGCCTGCCCCTGCTTCCTGAGTGTCCCAGCACCTGGCAAGGGCCAGGATTTTTAGGTGAGGGAAGAGGGCTTGGCCTAACCTGGTGGCGGTAAGGGAGGGCCAGGGCCTTTAAGCCTCAGGCTGAGTGAAGAGGCCAGTCCAAGATCTGAGATGCTAACATCCTGCCCAGTTGCAGGGAGCAGGTGGAGGGAGGAGTGCTGGAAGGACTCCCACGAGGGAGAAAGGCCAGGGTCTGGATGGTCTGAGGGGGAATCTGGGCTCAGGGTCCTTGGAACTGAGGAAGACAGCTGGGCTGGGTCCCTGGTCTGGAAGAGGGTAAACTCTTTCACTAGCCCTCACTCCACAAACTCATATTCAGTTGTCTTCAACCACAGAAACTTACTGCTTCACAGTTTTGGAGGCTACAGGACCAAGACCAAGGACATCAGTGTTCGGAAAAATCTTCCGTGCTTTTGCAAGCCTGGCCTCAGGTAACCACTGGCACTCTCCGGCTTATCTGTGCTTTGCCCTATTCTGTGCATTCCTCCCCACATGGCACCCTCTGTGCCTGCTGTCCAAATACTTACTTTAGGGACTCTTACCTGTGTGTGGGTATGTTGGTGGGTATTGGGGGAGGCATGGGCTCACAAAACTCAGTTTGGCTTTGAACACAGCCTGCCTAGCACACGGATTGAAATATGAAGACCCACTCCCCACCCCGCTTGGCCTGCAGTGCAGTTTAAAACACTTTGCTGACTTGAATGTTCCACAGACACCTGTAGCTAATTTTTGTCACCATTCCTTTTTGATCCTCTATCAAGCACTGCCAATCATCCCAGCCCTGAGCCCATGGTGGGGGCTCCTCCACTCCCTCCTGCTCTACTCACTGATTCCCTGAGGACTACAGACCTCCCCCTTTCCACTTAGCCCTCTACTCACTCAGATCACCCTGATCACTTCAAGTAAACGCTGTACCCCTGCCTCTTGCAGTAGCTTCCCATAACCAGGCCTGCATAACCTGTGCTTGCCTCCCACAGCAACAGCAGTCACCTGACACCTGCTGATGTCAGTCACCGTTTGCCAGGCAGTGATCCTATGGTGAGGAGAGCCCTACTCCTAGGCTTGTTGTATGCCTCCGTGTCCTTGTCACCTTAATTTGTAAGGCAGAGTACACATCCAGCTCAAAACCAGCCCCTGTTCTGGCCCTCTCCCATCAACCAAGCTCTCCCCCTTCCTGTGAGACAAAGATTCCAAGCTCAGACACAAATGGGAACCTGGAATCAGCTTCCCACATAATTCCTCCCTGTCACCATTCCTTTGTAGGAGGTCCTGGGTTCAGCCCATGGAGGCAAATATGATGGGCGAGAGGGTGGTTAAGACCCTCTGAAACAGACTCATTGCCTACTGCTTTCCTGGCCCTTTCAGTGAAGTTGGAAGTTCCATTTTATTGGGGAATCCCCATTTCACACCAGCCCCTGGGGAAGTAGTTCATACCCCTTTCCCAACTTCAAGGTAAGCTCCAGAAAAACTGTTAATACCCAGGAGACTACAAGACTGCCTTTGTCTAAGCCGACAAGTAGCCTGAGCCACAGAACACACCCAGAATATAACCGTGGATGCTTGCACTTTACCCAGATCAGTACTGTCAGAGAACACCCACAGGTGCCTGTAGCCAAAGAAAGGCAAGACTCAGTAGCCCCACAATAGGGATTTGCAGATCCAATACAGACCTTCTGGAATCTCAATACCCAGAAGGCCCTGGGGAGCATCCTTCCTTTCCAGTCAGGCCAGCATGCTGATGCATGCTTGGAAGTGGTGATTCCTCTAGAAATATGGAGCTAGCAGCCTATATAATGCCAGCACTAGAAGGATGAGACAGGACTCGAGAGTTAAAGCTCACCATAGTCTGGGAAAACGAAAACAATAAAAAAGCTTCTTGGCTCCAAAGGTGGGCAGGAGGCACTAGGCCTTTGTTAACTATCCCAAGCAGAAGGACAAGAGGATAGGACCACTTGGGGACTCAGCATTATCCCCTTCACTAAGATCCCCTCCTATCAGTCAGGACACATGCACAACAAAAGCCCAAACATCTCCCCCGGGGGCTGTCCTGGGGCTGGGAGAAGCCACTGTCACCTCCAAGGCCATCCAATGTACCCCACAGTACCACAATGGCCCCTCCAGCCCACTCTGGAGCACTCAACGGATACCAGACAGTTCCTAGCACCCAACACAGGGCCTTTCTCTGGGTTTGCTCCCTTCTGAGCCAGTACTTTTTTCTAGTCCTAGTTTCTTGTGCCGAGTCCCCCAGTGACCACAGGCCCACAAGGGCAGAGTGTATCTAGAGAGTATCTGTGTATCTGAACACTGTCCCAAGACACTAAACTCCGCACCCACGGGCCTTGAGTGTCTTGTCTGGGAAGACCTGCCTTCCACCCTGTTTGCCACCCAAGATCCTGGTCAATGTCAAGAGGATGGGTTCTTAGCTCTCCCAAACCCAAGAAATGAGGGCATATGCAGGCACAAGGGATTAAATAATTAATAGATTACCAACATGTTAATTACAAATAAGGAGTCAGGAGCTAGAGACGGTGATTTTTCCAAATGGGGAACTAGGATCCACAGCCCCAGGGCCCAGGGGTCCTGCCACCCAGGCGGGGCAGCTCCAAAATAAATAAGAGAGTTGGGGACAGGGGTCAGGGTTGTTCCTGCTTCTTCTTCACAGAAATCCGCTTCTTTCTTGCTGCCAGCATCTCATAGAAGGGGTCCACGCTCACAGCAGCCCTGCAGAGAGGTCTGGTTAGGACAAGGGCGGAGCGCATGCCCAGCCCTCCTGGCTCAGACCCCAGCCCGATGGGGCTCACTGGATGGACTTGATCCACTCGTCTTTCTCCTCCTGTGTGGGTGCTGAGATCCGGTACACCATGTGGTTCCCCTCTACTACCCGACCGTCAGCCTCGGTTTTGCAGGCTTTGATGAGCTGTCCCTTATTGTTGGGAATGTAAAGCTCAAAGCAATTCTAGGATAGAGAGGAGGGGACAGGTCAGAGCAGCCCTGGGCCAGTACACAAAGGTAAGGTTTAAGGGCACTTTATGAGTCTCACTGGCTTCCGAGGATCATCCACCTCACGGATGCTCAGGTTCTCTAGGGGGATGATCCCTCGGGGCTCCTTGTCCTAGGGGCAGAGTCAGAATTCAGGTTCCATGAGTCCCCCAGTGCCCTTAAGAGTGTTGGCTGGACGTGTGTGCCCGTTCCTCCCCCCCGCCCCCCAAGGATCCTGGGCCCGTATCTGCAAGCTCCACCCTCACCGTAGTGTACTCAAAGTAGTAGAGGCAGTTGTCTGTAAGGATGAACCAGCGGCGCTTCCAGGTCTTCACCCGGCCCCCTGCAAGGGAAGGGGTGGGAGGGGCCGGGCTCAGCGGGGAACCGCTGGGGGGGGGGGAGCAGAGCAGGAAAGGTAGGGTTCTTAGGTCTAGGACACAGGCAGTGAGGGAAAAGATAGGCAGGCAAGGAGAAGCTGCTAGGGCCCCAGGAGTGGGAACCCTGCTTGGGCCAAAGTTTCTGGATATTCTATTGGCGTAGGCCCAAGACCCTCCCCATGGGCCAAGGCCAGAATAGCCCCTTCCTATCTGGTGGGGGTTGGTAGGGGTCAAGGACACCAGGTACCTACCTCCTGGGGCAGACAGCGAGAAAGCAGGCAGGACCAGGTGTGGAAGGGAAGGCGGAGGGATGGGGTGCCCCCAAGAATCGCAGCGACAGAAATAGGGGGTCAGGGAAGGGATGCACAGGGGGCCAGAGCAACAGCAAGAGAACAGGCAGAGGGGAGGGGGAGAGAGGAAGAAAACCGGTTACATCCACATGGGGAGGAGCCAAGGACTCCCCCTGCCCACCATGCTCCTGGCCTCCTGGCTTCAGCCTTTCCCAGGAGGTGCTCAGCCTGGCCAGGATGGTCAGGACAGCCCTGAAAAGACATGTTCCCTGAGACCCTCTGCCCTGATCTAAGGGATAGGGTTGTCTTAGCTGTGTTTTCTTACGAAGTCCCTGGCCCTCTGGGCTCCAGCCTAGAGACCCACCCACTCACATCTTGTATTCAACAAGATGACATACTATGGCCTTTGGATGAACCACTGAGTAGAGATGTTTACACCAGCCATCATGATCATAATCAAGCCCATGACAGACCCCTGCATCTAAGTGGCAGGACACCTTTGAGTCTCAGTTTCTTCAAATGAGAGATGGAGAATATAGTTCGCATAACAGCTCAGAGACCCATCTTGGGGGAAGTTGCCTTCTTGCTCCTCCCTCAGGCTCAGGGAGACCACTGTTTGCTGGGGAACCTGATCTTCTGTGATCCTACTGGCCTCCTTGCACTCTACAAGGGGACAGGGCCAAGGTGCTTCCTAGGAAAGGCCATGTGTAATTACTAGGATAGTACACTGACTTTGAAGATACAATGCCCTGCTCCAAGTGCACAATTCAACAAGGCAGGACCTCAGACGGGGAGGGATGCTGAAGCCACTGCTGACTAGTCCAAGAACAGAGAGGCCTGATTCTAACCTGGGCCCTCACTCAGCAGAGTGCCTAGCTGTCCCACTACAGACCACGTACTTCTTCTCTGAGCAGTGAGCAGGCAACCTTGCCATTACCCCTCCAGCTCAGCACAAACGTACCTAGCTATACTCCAAGTGTCTGGGGAGCTGTAATGGTAATTAATGGCTGGCCTGTACCCAGATCCTGCCTGCATGAGCATGAACCCTCATCTTCAGGGTTCACAGCACCGAGTGCTGAGAACAACTCTCCTGGCCACACAGCCACCCTCTGAGGCCTTGCTGACTGAGCAGTCGCGTTACATCACACATTTCAACACAGCCTGCTCCCCCCAAAGAGTCCTCTAAAATCACTGTGGCTACTGCTGCACCGTCCTCTCTCCGGCCCAGCTGACAATGAGGCCAATTCTAGGGTAAACAGTCTGCAGAACATCTGACCCTGCCCTGGGCTTTTGGGAGTTTTACTGAGGGAGGTTAACAGCCTGGCTCACCAGGCCCTGGCATAGAAGACTCCAGGCATATGAGTAGGCAAGGCTAGGAGCACTTTTATACAGGCCCAGAAAATAGCCAAAGTGTGTTCTTGTTTTCAGCTCAATTTATCAGATATAGAAACCTGAGGTTCTCAAAGGTGCAAAACCTTAGGACACTCAGTCCTGACCTGGGCCACTAGCATCCCCTGCAAAGTGGCCAGCAGGCTCAGGAAGGGACGTACCCAGCTTTAGGAGCCAGCCCTCACGGTCTGGGTTGAAGAAGGTGTGGGTAAGATCATTCCCATCATCCTCAGGAATCTTGAAAGGCTCGTTTCGGATGCTGTCATAGAGGTTCTGAGGGTGGGGGAAAAAGGTTAGCAACTTCAGGTACTGAAACTTCTCAGGGCCAGGGAAATCATCAATGGGTCACTCACCATGGGAGAAAGGGATCAAACTGGGAAGAAAGGGAAACATAAGACTGAAGAGATGGGAGGAGGAAGAAAAAGATGAAGGGATAATGGTGAGAAAGCCTGTTAAGTTCTTGGAGATGATGGAAGAGAGGCCTGGCAGAGCCTGAGAAAAGACACAGAACAAGAACCAAAGGCCAGACAGAACTGGAAACAGAAGAGAAGACACATGCGAAGGTCATGCCCACACTAATGTGAGTAGCTAGAGCAGTTTAGGCACTGAGAGACCCTGGGGCACAAGAAGTGGTGAGGCTAGAAGAGGGGCAGAGCTGGGAGCAGCACTGACCCTGAGAAGGTCCTCAGGCAGGTCCCCACCCTCATTGATGCCCCGGTTCATGGCCACAAAGCGCTCCAGGCCCGGCTTGTCCCTGACATTGGGATTGTGAAGGCTAGTGTTCAGCATGATCACGGCAAAGGACAACACGTAGCATGTGTCTGCAGCAGATAAAATAAGGCAACCAGTGATGACCCAGACCTTTCTCACAGATCTGGGGATCCAGGCCCAGCACTCCTTCCTCAGACTATAGGTCCACACCCTGTCCTCTGGTCCTACCTGTAGACTGGAAGACCCCAGGGTTACATAGGCAGTATCGCTGGGCAAAGGCCTCCATCATTCGGTCAATTTTCTGAGCCTCTCCAGGGAGGCGAAAGCTCCATAGAAATTGCCTGGGTTGGGGTGGGGGCAGCATAGATTTCAGGGCTGGAAAACACTTTCCTTCTAACTTCTCTGTGTGTTCAGTGCCAGCCTTGTCTACATGGAGTTCCAGGCCAACCAGGGCTACACACTGAAATGCTATCTCAACACCAACCCTCAACCCCCAAGCAAGCAAACAATCAGATTCCAAATCTCTCAGCTCCAGCTGTCATCTGACTGGAGCAGTAAGTTCTGACCATGGATTCTGGTGGGTCTATATAGAAACAGCTTTTTTTCCACCCCTAAGTTTGCAGAATTGGACTGGGAATGCCAGGTGCTTGGGCTGCCATGCAGGAAGATGCACTGAGCACAGTGGATCAACATGAGCACGCCAATGGAGAGCCTTGGGTATCTCAGTTGAGTCGTTTCCTGAGCGTTGCTTGCTTCTGTTGGAGCTGCTTTCCCCTCACAGCTGAGAACGCCCTGGCAGATACACTTCTGCCCCATCCTTACCGGAGCGCCTGCACCAGGTTGAGGTCGGTGAACTCATGCAGATCCACAAAAGCATGCAGCACAGACAGGTTCAGCTCTTCCCTGCAGGGAGACAGTCACATGAGGACCAGTGACACTGGGCACACTAGTGCCACATCCGGTTCACTGTGCTTGCCCCCAGCAGCTGACCCTTTTACCTGCTCCATTGCAGGCTGCGTCCTAGAGGTAGGACACCTTGCTCTGGTAGCTTGTCAGATCTTTGAGCACATGGAGTACCTGATGTCACCTCTCTAGAATGTCCTCGTGCCCCTCTGATGCCTTCACCTCAAGAACTGACCTTTATCTAAGAGTTCACAGGCAATTCCTAGTTCTATGCACTCACATGGCCAGAGGGTCTCCTCACACTTGCAGCTCTGGCCATGACGGAAGACTTCCAGACAACCCCACACTTCAGATGCCAGCTATGTACTCCTGAGACTTCGACACTGCCCCCAACATAAATGGGCCCCTACTGGGCTTCCTGGGCTCTGAAGCTCCCCCGGAGGCAGTCAGACCACCCTATCATGAAGCAGCTGGGAGCCCTGTGCAGCTGGGTAGCTCACCTTTCCCCTAGGTAGTCCCCAATGGCAGTCTTGTTCAGGCCTTCGCCCTTGTACAGGAAGCGAGCAATTTCCTCAGGTGTGTTCTGCAGAAGCTCATGCTCCACCAAGAATTGGATCCCCTGGAGGGAGGGGGTCAGATTTGTGCCCAGGACAGAGGTTGATGCTCCTCATGAACCTCAGCATCCAAACCTCCTCTCTCTAACAGAGCATGATCAGCCTCATGCTCCCCATGCACCATCCCTAACACATTCCCTCAGCTTCTGTTCCAGCAGATTCCAGAATGTGCAACTGGGTGTGGCAAGGAACAGCTCTGAAGAATAAATGAATAGACTACACACTACAGTAAAAATGAAGCGGATGCCTGCCCGTCACGCTGTGAGCGTAGACCCTTGCCTGGTTCTGTCCTGCGCCATGAAAAGCCCTCTCATTGCCACATCTCCCCTGGACTGGAGCACTTATATCTAGGAGATCTCTGAGAAAGGCAGGCTCAGCACTGCTTAGTACGTGGCCAACTCCCAAAGGCCTCAGTTCATGGACAGTCATGGAACAGACAGGGAGGAATCAGGAGTCTGTTGCCTACAGGAAACATATTTTCCTAACACTTCCAGAACCAGAGACATTAAAACCATGCCTGAATATCTGCCCAGCTAACCTTTTTGGGGTCCATGTTGAATTTCTTCCTGCCCATTGCCATCTTCCGGTTCCGCTGCAAGGTCTTACTGCAAAAGCAGGGTGGGGAGTAGCCAAGGGCCAGTGCTTGAGTATCCAGGGCCTTGGCCAAACCCCATGTTCCCGTGAATTCCCACAGTCCTCACCTGCCCTCATTGGCCTCCAGACCCTCCACCTCGCTCATAGCTTCACTCAGCTCCTCTCGCAGGCGCTGGATCTCCACCAGCAGCTCCTGCTTGCGCCGTCGAATGTTCTCCAGCTCCATGCGCTCCTCGGGAGTCAAGTCTGGGGGCTCTATGAGCCAGGGTCAAGAAATTAGTTCAGAGGGCCAGGACTCCTGCATCCTGAGAAAGGATTTGGGCTTGGGGCCTGGATTCTTGTCCAGAAGAGGAATGGCTACCAGAGAGGGGAGAGGAAGAAGACCCTGAACCCTTAGTCTGGAAGTGTCTGAAAGTCTCATCTCATAATAGGTTTGGGGATAAAGTCCTGGGCCCATTACTTGGAAGAAGGATGGGGCCCTGGCTTCATCATGGCAGGAAGTGGGGAACCTAAATCTTATGTCCATTACTTGGAAGGGAACCAGTCCCTGGGCTCCTGGACCCGTCACTACAGTTAAAAACTCTTCAGTCTGAATTTTGAATGCTTTACTTGGATGCCCTGGCTCCTTGATTCCATCACGGTAGAACGGGAGGCGTGAATATTGGTAACATTACTTGGAAGGACCTAGAACCTTGGGCTCATGGCTCCATCGTCGCAGGAACTCTGGGGCCCTGGATCTCTGAAAGGTACAGGGCCCTCCACCATGGTAGAGGATCTGGGATCTTGGGTGCATTTCTTGGAAACACACCAAGACTCTGGCTTCTAGCTCCACCATAGTGGGGACCCTAGCATGGGCCTTTTGTAAGGGAGCCGTATCCCTGACTCCATCATGGTGGAAAAGTTAGGGTCCTGAATCTTTGGTGCGTTTCTTAAAAAGGAACCGAGGCTCTGGCGCCGCCTCGGCAAATACAGTGGTCTGGATCTTGAGTAAACAGTAAAGACAAGCTAGAACATCAGGACCCAGGGTCAGGGTCGGCAGGAACCGCACACAGCCTAGGTCTACAGCGGGAAAGGCAGGCCGCGGCTCGCGCGGTGTACGCCCCGCCCCGCCCCGCCCCGCCCCGCCCGCCGCCGCCGGAAGCGGGCTCGGTCCAAACAATGGCCCGGGACCCTGGCTCTCGGGCGAGCCGGAAGCCCGTCCCGCGCGCCGAGAGACGCCCTGCGGCGGCCCGGCTGTCCGCGGCGAGGCTTGGGAGCCGCTCCGCCCGCTCGCCTCGCCCGGCCTACCGTAGACACCGTCCTCCATGGCGGCTAGGAAGGCCCGCGGGGAGTCCGGGGCGGTTCCGCCGGCTGGGCCTGCGTCCGCGTCGGCCCGCGGGCTCGAGTGAGCCCGCTCAAACGCCCCAGGAGCCACCGCCGCCTCCTCAGCGCCCGTCCTCAGCGCCGAAAAGACTCTCCCTTCACGGCCCAACCGCCCGGCCGGTGGGGCCCGCCCCTCGTCTCGACACCACCCAATCCACTGCGGCTCTCCCCGACTGCTCCGCCCCCGACGCCACAGGACCATCTCCAGGACCAATAGGGCTCACGAGAAGCCGCCGCAGGCGCGCGCTGCGGGCGAGAGACTGCTAAGACTGGCCAATCAGAGTGTGGGCAGGGTGCTCGGTCCCGCCTCCGAAACAAAGGAAAATTCTTGGCACCTTTATCCCCCAATAAGAAAACTCAAACAAGCGCGACCAGGAGGTGGGGCTTCGTGGAGCAGGGAGGGTTGTGCCTGCTCGCGAGCCAGACTAGGGCCACTTAACCCTTCGTTCAGGAATTCGTTGTTAGGGGCGGTACTTTGTTAGTCTTGTTGTCAAGGGCGGGAGCTCAACCTTGGGTTGTTTCCTGGAGCCACACCTCCTGGCCCTCCACGCCAGCTTTGGACCGCAGCGGTTGCCAGGCAACTGGGAGCCGCAGAGGCCTGTCTTTTTGCCTCCTTTCTCGGGATACTTCTAAGCAGGTCGCTGTCTTTGAACCCTTTCCATACCACCTCACGTGACTTTCCTACACACCCCAATCTCCTCAAAGTCGAAAGATGGTAAATAAAGACATTCTTTCTTCCAAATATTATGGAATTGGGTTCCATGTACGCACGGGCTCTACCTTTCCAGGGCTTTTTGTCTTTCAGGCTCTTCTAAACTCTCCCTTTAAGCTTAGCGTCATCCTCCTAAAATCCTGCCTTCCCCAGGCATTCTCCCAAGACACCTCTTTTCCCTCAGAATCTTCCAGCCTGCGCCGACTTTCTTCTCTTGGCAGAACTCCAGGTCCCAGTGCTTAAGGTCCTCCTTCCACCCAACCTTTTCAATCCTCATGCTTGCCCTTCTTAAGCTCCTCCCTCCTCTTTGCAGGGAAAGCAGTGAAGGGCCTGTCTGATGGGGACTCTGCAATTCTTGTAAATCGGAAGGGGCTGAAGTGGCTTCCAGGTCTCGCGTCCTCATTTGTGTCCCTGGGCTGCTCAGTGGTGACGGATTCAGGGCCAGGACTTGGCTAAGCCTCTGGATTAGTCACTGGAGCCTTCTAATCCCCTCTCTGACCTTTAAGAGTGGCCTGACCCATGCCCTCTCTCATGGAGACCCTGTCTGCACCAGTCCTACCCTGCTCTCTCCTTCCCATTAAAACATGCTCCTGCCTCTTCAGCCCAACTTAGCATCTTCCTCCACCATGTCTCCGTTGTCCCTAATCTCTGTCCTAGACCTGGGGGTGGGAAAACTGCCAGCTAATTAATCCTGTCCGGTTATTACCTGGGGATTCTGAAGGATAAAGCAAGATGAGAGCCAGAAGAGGGCATAGATGGATTCAGCTCTCAGGCCAGCCAATGCCAGTGACAGCGCTCGCTCTCAGTTGAGAACACTGGGGAGGACACCTCCTCCTCCTCCTGGCAGCGTCCCTGAGGCTGACTATCAGCCTGCTGGTCACTTAGGTGGCTGTACCATGAACAAAGGCCAAGAACAAAGACCCACATTCCAGAAGCACAGGCACACTGCCAGAGAGCCTGGTCCTTCAATACAGTGGCAGGGTTCCCTGAGAGCTCCTCCACCTTGCTCACAGTGGACATTACCCTGGAGACAACATCTCCAGCTCCCAAGCTGGAGCAGTAGGATGGTGACAATGGCCCTTGGTGATAGCCTATGCCGCTTCTGGCTGGTGGAACCAGTCATCATGTCACTGTCTCCTTCCACCTACCCCTAGAAGGCTGTGTGTTTCAGCACAAGGGTGGAGACAGGAAATCTCAGAACCTGCACTGGATCTTAGCCTCCATGAAGTGAAGGACCGCTCTTATGGGAGGACCCTTGGAGAACTTCAGACTCTAGTGACCATTACAGGAAAAACGAAAACAAGGAGAGATTTGCCTAAGGGCCTGAAGTTCCTTGGAGCTGATGGGATTTAAAGTGAGCCTCCCTGAATCTCTGCAAAGGGCTCCAGTTAGCGTGAATGTGTTCACATCTTACCACAGGAACAAACGGAAAACATAGAGATCTGTATTTATGTCATATATCATACACATATGAGAAATAAACACACATCACTAGGTGCAGCAGTCCAGCCCTTAGGCTCGCCAGCCTCAGCCTCTCCCTTCCCTTGCCCACTAGTTAGCCCTGTGGTCCTCTAGGATCTTGCTCACAAGCTCCACACAAGAGTCTCTGCCTCCTAGAACTGCCAGGCTGTCCATATGAAGGTGACTAGGACTTCTAGGCTTTGGGAAAGGACAGCTCTGGTCCCTGGAATTTTGATTTCTTTTGGCATTACAGAACCACAGGAAGTCACTCAAGGTCATAGAGATCCTCAGCCCTGCTGGGTAAAGTGGAGCCAGCAAGTCACAGACCTCTAGAACCCTGCCTGGATTCTGCTAAACCTTGAACCACAGAATCCTGATTCCTTTGGATGTTCTAAGAATGGCACTTCAAACAAAGACAACATTCACCCTGTGGATCATGGAGAAGCCACACTCACTCCTTCAGCTGGACCCTAAACAGCCAGAACCCCAGAGCTCTCCAGCCTCAGGGGCCTCAGCATGCCAGCTCAGTCTCTCCTTTCAAACTCAGAGACCTAGCAATGTTTTGTGTATTCTAGAAACATAGCTTTGTAGTTTCTGGAGAAGTTCCACTCTCTAGCCAACCTGTTCTAGAATCCCCAATGTCAACCTAGACTCAGATAATCTCAGCTCTTGGGCTCTGGAACTACCAGAGGTCTTTTCTTCACACACAGTCCAGTCACCATTCTGTTTTTGGTCAATTATGATGATCCAGAATCCTTGAAGTATTCTATCCCCTCCTCTCCTGAAGGTAGCAAAGCCACCATTGCTTGAATCTTTGTTTCTTGATCTGCGTAAGTTGACGTCTTCCTCCTGTGGCTGTGTATCTCTCCTATGCTAACCAGAATCCAGCCTTCACTCCTCCAGAAATCTGATCCCTCAGCTTTGGTAAGACTCAGAAATTCAGCTCATAAAAGGGTCTTGGGAGTGAGAATGGAGCAGAGAAATGAAGGTGTTATATCTGCAGCAGACATCTTCATGGTTAGTGGTTAGCTCAGCAGGCCACTGGTCCTGAGAAGCCCCTGCCCCACTCCCAACAGAGTCTGGAAGCTCTCCACCCCTGTCATGATTGGGAAGGGGTGTCACACGGGAAAGTGGACCTCAGCTGTGTCATGGAGGCAGGGTTAGTGCGAGGGTTGGTGTAAGAGCTTGGGGGCTGACAGCCTTATCTGGGGTCTCTACTGAAGTCCCCTCCTTAGTGTCCTCATCTTCATCTTCCTCCTGGCAGCAGCTCAGAGCAAGTTCATTCTCATAACAAAATGCAGTGAGGGAGCCAGGAAAACTTGACTTAGGGCTGTGGGAAGCCTGCTCTGCCCGTTCATCCAGCTCCTTGGCACTGCACACTGGTGTCCCCGGGACCTCATACGTTCGATGGAAGTGGCGATAGTCAACCTCATACTGGGAACCACGCTGGAAGAGGACCGGCTCGAAGCGGTGGCCCCAGAGCAGCTCGCCTGGGAGGTAAGATGAACGGCACTGGGTAGTCATGGCTGTGGCCTCAACCATACCTTCAAGAATGACTACCAGCTCAAAGTCAGCCCGGGCCAGCTCAGCCCGTCCCAGCTCATACAGTGGACTGGCAGAGTCGATCTCGTGCACGATGGTAATGGGGGATACGAGGAAGATGCGATCAGTGCCTCCATCAAAACCGACATCCACATCCTGGTGGTCCAGTGGAATGTACTCACCCTCTGGGGTCACACGGGGCTGTGCAGAAGCAAGAGGAAGGAGCCAGAGAGGTGAACAAAGGTTACAGAAAGAGAAGAACAAAGACAGAGAGAAAGAACAAAGATTAACGAGCTGAGCTACTGGAGAACATGGTTGCAGGGAAAGGGACAGGGACTTAGAATGAGGGAGACCTAGAAAGAGGGACAGAGACAGACAGGCAGACTCCAATATAAAGGAGCATGGATCCAAACCCAGGGAGAGGAGGACACAAAACCTAGAGAGGGTGTGGGGACACAGACCCCCCCCCCAGGGGAACCAAAACCTAGGAGCAAGAGGAAGATAGTGAGATAGAGACCTGTAGAGAGATAGAGAAGAATAGAGACTTAGAGATAGGGAACCAGAGAGAGAAAGGAGGAGCTGGGAGGTAGATCTGGCTCCAACGGCAACTATTCCACTGCTGTTTTATGTAGCTATCCATCCCATTGAGTACAGGCAGGAGCACACTGAGAAGTGTGTGTGCGTGCGTGTGTGTGTGTGTGTGTGTCAATACTGGCAGTTTTGTCTCCTTACTGCTCTATGACTGTCTTTCAGGCTGTGTCACTACAGCCACACATCTGGAAGAAGCATCTCTCTGGATCATCTTGGCGTTTCAAAGGGCTAGGAGCTCAAGTATGGTTGAGGATCTGCTCTCTGTGCCCCCGAGGCTTCTGGGAGCTGTCCTTCCCACAGTCAGTGCCCTCTCTTCTGGCCTCAAGGGCAGCCTCCATTTGGCAGTGCTGACTGCAGCTCATTGGCTTGTTGGGAACTCAGATGCCAGGGCGATGTGGCCCCAAGTCTAGGAGCATCAAGGCTCCTACAGCAGGGCTTTGGAGGGTTGCTGCCCCAGTGGCCAGTGAAAATGGCTTCACTGGGGCTGTTCCCAGCCTGGTGCTGTACTTATTGGGCAGGAGGCTGGTAGGGGAGCCTGTGACCCAAGTCCTAAGCTGCTCTGTTGTCCTTTCTCCTGGGAAGTGTGCTTTGGATGGTGGGAAAGTCTCATAGTCCCCACACCCAGCAAACACATCCCAAGCTTCGAGCACAGGCATTCCCTTGCCCTGGTGCTGCTGGGAGCTCCCAGGAGCACTTGAGGGCAGGCATGCTTGCCCACATCTAGACTACTCAGCAAAGTCTGATCAGACAGTCTCCAGGCCAAGAAGCTCCTCAGGTGTTCTACTCTCTCAAGCTCAGGTTCCAGGTAACTTGCCCCCTGGGTCTCTACCTCTCCTTCAGGTCCAACAGTTCTGCTACTCGGGGTGCTGAAGAAGGCGCATCTCCCATCTTCCTACTCCCTACAACACACACACACCAGCCGACCTGCATTCCCTCACCTACTGGTCCTTCCTAAACACGCACGCACCCACGCACGCACGCACGCACCCCAGCCGCCATGCGTCCCCTCACCTGCAGCAGCTGCGCCCGCACGTGAGCTTCCACCAGGTGGCTGCGACGCAGGTTGCCCACCCGCCACATCAGGCAGAGCCGGTGGTCCCGCAGAGCCACCACTGCGTTCTCGCTGAAGACCAGGGTCTCGTTGCGTTTCTTGGGCTTGGCCATCTTGGCCATGACTGCACCTACGACGAAGGCGTCGAGCACACAGCCTGCGATGCACTGCAGCACCACAGCGGCCACAGCAGCCGGGCACTCCTCGGTGACGCTGCGCACACCGTAGCCTATGGACGTCTGTGTCTCCAGCGCGAAGAGGAAAGCAGCCAGGAAGCTGGCCACCTGCGAGAAACAGGGCGCCGGGGGCGGCGGGGCAGCTAGGTCACCGTGCAACGAGGCGATGAGCCAGAAGGTCAGGCCGAAGAGCAGCCAGGAGGCGAGGAAGGAACAGGAGAAGAGCAGGCACATCCAGCGCCAGCGAACATCCACACATGTGGTGAACAAGTCGCTCAGGTAGCGCGCGCCCTGGCCACCCAGGTTCACGAAGCGCACATTGCAGTGCCCGTCTTTTTTGACGAAGCGCCCGCGGCGCCGGCTCCCGGCTTCCGGCCCAGGCGCCCACCCATTGCGGCACAGCCCGGCCCCCGCCTCCTCCTCATCACCAGCTCGGCTGTTTCCTGACTCCAGTGCGCCGCTCAGGCGGCGCAGGGCCCTGGCCAGGCCCATTGGGTGGGGAGACCCCCTCTACTTGGCCTAGCGGGGGGCGGGCGCCCCAAACCTGCAGGAACAAAAGATAGGCAGGACCGTCAGGGCTATCAGGAACTGGAGGATCCACTGGCCACAACAATGCTCTGCACCCTCATTTAACATAAGGTAGGCCAGTACTTAGGGGACAATAAGAAGATCCCACCATAGGAAACTTGGCATCTGGAGGAGAGGGTTTCACAACGCTGTTATGAATTAGCCAAAAGGTGGCTTAGGCTGCTGTAAGCACTGTACATGAATCTACATATTTGTGGGTTTGTTTGAGATGGTACTGGGGAGGAACACACCAGGACTCCTGAATGCTAGGCAGTGCTCTACCACTGAGACGGTAACCCTAGCACCAAGAAGAGTCTTGAGATAAACAACATTATTTTACAGATATAACCTGCTTAAGACCACAGCCACTCAGGCTACGGTTTGAATGCTAGAAGTTTTAGCTCCTGAGTCCTTGTAGGTAACTACCAGTACCAGGCATCTGGAGAAAAAACCTGCCGGCCCCGCATATGGAGCACACACAGTATAGCTCCAGCACTCAGGAGGCTGATATAGAAGCATAGAGAATCTGAGGTTAGCTTGGAGCTACATAAAGCCCTGGCTCATACAAATAACAAGGATTCTGCCTGGCAGAGAAAAAGAAACAAGACAAACATCAAAGTGTGAACACTTTCTTTGTTGAGGCTACCTTATGGGCTCTAGATAATCTTTGTCTCTTGGCCCCTGGAGTAGGTGGGAACAGGCCATGTACCCTCAAAGCATTTTAAGTGGGAGCAGCCAGTCCTAGCCACTGTTCCATCTCTGTATCTACATCATCTGCACCCACTGAACTCTGCCAAACTCAGACCCAAAGCAGTGCCCTCTGTACTGAACACGCAGACCTTTTCACGTATCAGTATTCCCTGGACAATACTATAAAGCCAGGCAGCGGTGGCCCACGCCTGTAATCCCAGCCCTCAGGACACAGAGGCTGGTGGACCTCTGAGAATTTGAGGCCAGCCTGGTCTTCAGAGCGAGTTACAGGACAGCCAGGGCTACATAGAGAAACCCTGTCTCACAAAACAAAAACCAAAGCGCTATATAAAATTGCATTGCTCTGAATGAGAATCTGGAGATATGTTTTTAAGACAAAAGTTTTCACAAACCCAGACTGGCCTAGAACTGATCCCCCTGCCTCCACCTCCTGAGTGTAAGGATCACAGGCCTAAAACACTCCACTCAGGTATGGAGAAGACTCTAAGTACAGGGGGCTTACCTCCATCCGAGGAAAGGGGTAGGTTGGGGAAAGGATGTGGGGTTAGCACTACTACAGTGATAGCTGCTCAACAGCGGCTACACTGGATAAGGCTGTGGTCCAGCAGCGTGCACACTCCGTGCCTCAGGCCTTGGGTTCAGTCTCAGCTCTCCAACAAAAACATCACACATGCTGATGGACCGACAGCTACTAATAAGCAAGTTTGGCCTTGACCATCTGACCCCAGTAAGGAAGCAGCTTCTGTCATCAAGACCTAGGGCCTGTTGGTCAGTGTAGTGGCAGGCAGAACCTTGAGTTCTAGGACAGCCTACCTTATCTTAAAAATAATAATATTTAGACTCTAACCTAGGCTTCCTTTTCTAGAGTTTTGATTTGCTTATTTGAGGCTTGCTAACCTGAAAGGGAGAGGACCTGGAGGTCCTTGGCAGCTCCAGGCTGAATCCTGATCAGGACCCTCATTAGTTCTGGCAGTGGGTACAGTGAGTTTATGGACCTTCTTAAACCCCAGAGTGGAGGCCCAGGTCTAGGCCTTGAGTTTCACCTCCAGCTACTACAGGGCTGCCTTGGGCCATATGTTGCCATGCAACCCCCAGCTCTGTACACCCTGTAAGCACACTAGACTCTGGGCCCTCACGGGCTTTGGTAAAAGAACCCAAGATTCCTTGTAAGGCTGTGTAAAGTTCAGCACTTATGGCTGAAGTGTCTTGCGACTTTCTTGGTCTCCATGGCATACAGAAATCTAGCCAGGGGTCATGAGGCCCACCTGACAGGCACGAACCTGAGGCTCAGGGCTGATTGGATGGAGCTGGACTGAGTCAGCACAGCAGCCCTGAATGTTGAAGGTCATTCTCAGGAGGGGAAGCAGGTTAGTCTCCCAAGAGCAGGTTTGCAGTGCGACTGTGGAAAGTAACCTTCACACGCAGGCTTTGTGGCAGAATTCCTACTTTGCAATCGTGTCTAGGAGCCAACTAGGGAGAGAGGGAAGGTGGAATCCCACCCTCAAGTCCCTTAGCTGGAGAAAGGTGGCAAACTCAGTACCAGTGAGGCTGTGTGTGCAGAGCTCCAATGATGACAACTGCTTGAGTGCTGGCAGTGGGACAGGCCACTGTTTATGGGAGGACCTGCAGCTGCCCATGGTACCTGCCGGCCTCCAGGGTTCACCTTTGATTGATTGCTCAGGGTGCCAGGGGCCCAGGGCTTCACCTTGTCTGCGCTAGGGTGGAAAGCTGGCTGGGTCATAAACCTCTGAGCCCACTCTGCCACTGCCCTGTGTAGACCTGTGTCCACCTTAGGTTGAGTGTGATTTACACCTTCAGAGAACCATCCGCATCACTGCCCAGCACTAGGCTGCTCCCGAAAAGGATGGGGGGAGGATTCTGATCCACACACCCCCATCTTCCACCTGACCCACAAGAGCAGCTTAATGTTTCCATATAAAGGAGCCACAGGGCTTAAGGTACTTCAACTTCATGTCAAAGTCACTATATAATCTGGAGCCAAAAACCCCGCCCCTCCCATCCATACAAGGTGGCACTCCTACCCCTGCCAAGTAGTGGCAACAGCACTGAAGGAACCCCAAAGGAGACCATTGACAAAGCAAAGGACGGAAACTCCTGTCCTTTCCTAATCCCCAAAGCAGCCAGACAACCCGGCCACACTGGGGTCACTAGGCCCAAAGATGATCCGAGGACAGACAGAGACTCTGAAAGAGTAACAAAGACTGACTCGGAGAAACAGCTACCAAGAGAGAGGGGCAGAGACCCAGATAGGGAAACAAAAGGTCACAGTGGAGTAAGCTGGGAGACCCAGGAGGTGAGGGTTTTAGGACAGAGACTGAATCAAAGAAACAGACCAAGACAGAGGGACATAGATGCAGATAGGGAAACTGGCGAATGCTGGGGAGACTGAGACTCAGGGGGGCAGAGACTGACTCAGAGGAACAGAGACCCAGAGAGAAAGATAAAGGGACTTAGACAGACAAGAGTCAAAACCCAGAGACATCCATGTGCAGAGCCCGAGTAAGAATTCGAAGAGACATGAGGCTTGTCTCATGAATATCAGCAGACAGGGAGAGCGAGGGGCTGCCTCTCAAGGGAGAATGGGTAGTGAGAAAACTCATGAAGTCGGTATCGCCCAGAGCTGGAAGCCAAGGGCTGGGGTACTAGAGGCAGGGAAGCTTTTGGCTGGTAGGGAAGGTGTTGGGGGCAGAAGGGAGATGAGGTGGGTTGGCTCAGGTCTGCACTTACCTGGGGGGGCCGCCCACCCCCATGCCCTGCACTGGGGGGTTCCTCTGCCCAGCTGGAGAGGGCCTCTGTGGGTGCTAATATGTCAGGTCTTTCCTCGGCCCCTGGGGCCTGAGCCGGGGCACCCAACCTCTGAGCTACAGCGGATCAGGGCCTGAAGAGGGGGGGGGGGGGTAGGGGTGGAGCCGGCTCAGCACTGCAGAGGGGGAGCCGGGGAGGCTGGCCAGGCAGGACACTGGGCTGCGGCCCAGGCAGACTGGAGAGGACAGTGCAGATAATGGGTGGGAGGCAGGGAGGGAGAGTAGGGATCAGGAACATGGGAATAGTCATAGGAAGGTCACTGACAGCCCTTCCTGACCTTAGCAGGAAATACTGAGGTAGTAATAAAGGAGAGGAAATATGGGTCCCCATCCCCCAAGAATAATGCCTTAATAGGCTGGTGGTCAAGGCCTGGGCCGCTGGAGCAGAGGTGAACAGTGGTCTTTCCCTGATGGCAGGGGGATAGTGCTAGAGGCTCAAAGGATTGGTGTCTCGCATGTTTGGGCCTTATTGTGGTCCTTTACTGCCGAAGCCCCAGACCCTCCTCCAGTACAACACTGGTCAGCACTGGAGGGCATCCCAGAGAGCCCCCGACTTGGCTTTTAACCAAAAGCAATCGGCCAGAAGAGAACTAAATTCCACCGGAGTGACCCAGACCCAGACTTGGTCTAGCCATGGCAAATCCTTCAAGTTCTGAAAGTTAATCAACAGCCAGAACTGTCCTGGGTCAGAGGTCCTTGGGGTCAAGCCAGGAGTCAACACTGACAGAAATATCACATTGAGGCCTTATCTGGGACAGGCAAGGGTCTTCGCCCGAACCAAGTCTTTGGTGTAAAGTACACAGAGGTCAATCTGAATCCTTAGAGATACTAGCTCAGTAGAATCCATCACTTCTCTTCCACGTAGGCCAGGTTGAACATTCTTTCTGGGGCACAGTCTACACAGGCCTAACGATCTTCGCCAAGTTAACCAATCCAGTTCCAAAGCAGAGCCAAGGCCTGAGGTCAAGTGTTGGCCACCTCAGACACTGATGGTGCGGAAGATGGTGAAGCCTGACAGGGCGGTGCTGATCAGGACCCCAGGGCACTGTGGGTGCCAGTGTAGCTCCTTCAGGTCCGTCTCACCTTGATGCACGAACAGCAACTGCTGGGGGAGTGCTGCCAGCCCAGGGTCTGTCTCTGTCTCACCTGCCTCTGGGTCCCGTTCAACTGCCAGGTCCCACTGTGTGATCTGGTTGTCAGCACCTGAGGCTGCAAACACCCCACTGTCCTGAGGGTGCCATTCAACAGAGGTCACGGGGGCCATGTGCTGCTTGAAGGTGGCCACAGGGGAGCCAGACTATAAGAGAATATGGGAGTCAGGCCTCAGTATGAGCACTGGGCACTCAGCCTCAGAGTTCACCCATACACTCTTACACCCATACAAAACCAGAGCCAAAGAAAGAAACACAGGGAAAGGACAGCAGGTAAGATGACTTAATGGTCCATGGGCTGCTGGGAGCTGTGCTTGCACCTGCAAATAAGCCTCTAACAGGGTGACAGGAGCCTGACCCCTAACATTCATCCCTGAGCATGCCTCAGGATCCCTTTTCTATAAAAAGAGCAGGAGGGGGTCCTCCCAGCACATGCTTGGCTGTCCTTTAAGGCTAAGGCCTTAACAGGGCAGAGATAGCTCCCTTAAGCTCCCGACACTCACGCTAGAAGAAGTGGTACTAGGAAGGAAGTCTGAGGCCACTTGGCATGGGAGGGCTGCAGCTCCCTCTGGAAGCTTCCCCAAGGATGAGTCTACAGAAATGATTAAACTGGGAAAAGAGGCTGACTGCATGTGGCGCAGGGTAGGTCTGCAGCCAGACGCCCTGGCTTTCTCTAAGGATTGGAAACGCCTCTTCCGCCCGTCTAGATTAGCTCAGCTGTACAGACAACTCTTAGCGTGATGTCACCTCTGCTCCTGTTCTGTGCCTCAGTTTCCTTTCCTTAAAGCAATAAATAGGGCTCAAATTCCCAGCTGATACTATAAACACACTAGAATTAATAGCAGCCCAAGGTCATGGGCTATGTCGCCAGCTGTATCTATGCCACACAGACAAATGAGTTACAGTCTGTACTGCCCAGCTGGTGGAGGGACAAAAACACTGGGTACCTCCCTCCTAAGGCAGACATCGAGAAAGCAGGCAGGACCAAGTTAGAAGGAAGACAGAGTAGGGGGCGCCTCCAGAGTCGCAGTACAGAAAAAGCGAAGCAGAGGTGACACGCAGGGCTAAGTGATCTCCCTGCTCCCATGCACATCATGCTGTGCCTGCCTCCTCACCTGGATTTAACTCCCAGTACCTTCCCCAGCCCTTAGGAGCCCAGCTGGGAAGATACCTTGAACTGTCGCAGGTCCCAGACTTTGAGGGCCCCATCATCCCCACCACTGAGCAGGAAGGGTTCCCTTCTACTCCAGCTGATGACGTTGACATCCCCATCATGCGCATTGGCTGTGGTGAGCATGCAGGCCTTGCCTGGGGCTGCTCTGATGTCCCAGATTCGAATGGAGGCATCAACTGAGCAGGAGGCAAAAACCTGAGTAGGTTGAATAGTGTGAATTAGGAAGATGTGCCCCAACTCACAGACTTCATTATCATTTATTGTCTGAATCAGGCACCAACTTAGGACCCCCCTCTCCCAAGTCAAGGTTCAGGTTCCTAGCCTGTCCCCATCAGACCCACGTGTCTAGGCCTTCAACCTTTCCTCACCGTGTCCTCAGTTGGCGACCACTGCAGATCCTCCACAGAGCGTGTATGGCCCACATACGGCCGCTGGTCCACATTCCAGGAACCACCATCGGTGGGTGTCCAGAGGTGGATGTTTTTCTGACAGTCACCAGTCAGCAAGCGGCCTGGACAAGGGTTAGGAAACCACCTTACCCACTTGGACACTCAGGAGTCCTACCTCCACCTCCCCTAAACCATGAGAAAATCCAAACTCACCAGGCACCCGAGGGGACCAGTCAAGAGCAAAGCCCTCACCCATGTGGCCAGCAAAGGAGAAGATGGGCTTTACTCGGGCCTGCTCATCCCGGAGGAAAATGGCCAGGGCCTGGGGGTCATCTACCACCTGCAAGAGCCGCCGCAGTGCAAACACCTCCACCTGGCCCTTCTCTGACCATACTCCAGCCACAGGCTCCTCCCCTAGCCAGGACACCTGCCAGAGGGTGCACAAACAGAGGAAAGAGGCCTAAGTTTGGACACTAGACCCCCAGAACCATAACCTCTGCATGTCTACAGACAAACTACAGTTCCCTAACAGCTTTGAGAGAGAAAACTGTACCCAACCTTCCAGACTGGCTGCTGCCTAGCTCACCTCCTGGTGCTGGGAGTAGAAGGAGCAAGAGGATGAAGCTCACGCTCCCACTGGTGTTCTGGAACATGGTCTCTGAAACACTCTGTGTGCTAGAGTTCCATGGCTTGGCTCTCATGTCCTTTCACCTCTACACTCACTACAAGATCCTGAAACTGCCCTATCACCATAGGCAACACATTCCTTTGTTCTCCACTGTGCTGGACAGCTTTACGTCAAATTAGAATAATCTGAGAGAAGAGAGCCTCAGTCAAGAAGATGCCTCAGATAGGACTGCAGGCAGTAGGACATTTTGTTAATTAGTATAGGAGGGCCCAGTCTGTGTACGTGGTACCATCCCTGGGCTCTGTGAGGAAAGAGGTTAGCTGGAGGTGTTGGCACACATCTTTTATCCCAGGTCTTGGGTGGCAGAGACAGGTAGCTAGATCTCTGAGTTCAAGGCCAGCCTGGTCTACAGAGCGAGTTCCAGGACAGCCAGGGCTACACAGAGAAACCTTGTCTCAAACAAAACAAACAAAAAAGTGGAGTAAGCAAGCCAGTAAGCAACATCCCTTACTAGCTTCAGAATCATCTCCTGCCTCCAGGTTCTTGTTCTGCTTGAGTCTCTGTCCTGACTTCCTTTGATGAACAGTGATGTAAGAGTGTAAGCCAAGTAAACTCTTCTGCGCAAGTTGCTTTGCTCACAGCGTCTCATCACAGCAGTAGTAACCCTAACTAGGACACTCACCTTGGGCCCCAAACCCCGAGACCCCTGTTTGCTGTGTCTTCTTTCTTGTATCTTCTGACCTTTCTGCCCGCCTGTGGCTGCACATGCCTACGCTCTGCAGATGCAATCCTTCCTATGAGCTGCTCCTTACAGAGCCAAACACGTCTGGCTCCCTGCAGCCAGAAGGATCCAGATGAATCAGACCTCTGCTTTACAGGCCCTACTTGTTCCTCAATCTCCTGGAGTAGAAACCCACGCCCTTATACTGGCCCACAAGGCCAAAACCAACTCCTCCAGGCGCTAACCCCCACCTTCTGTCACCGTCCCCTTTGTCCACCCTGCTCCACACAGTGGTCTCTCGTTTTCCTTGAACCTGCTGAACCGTGCCAGGTTCGCCCCTGGCACTTTCATTTTAGCTCCCTGCAAATCTGTTCCCACAGACATCTAAGCCCCCACACACCTTTCCCCATCACCTTAGCATCTTGCCACAAACTATGTATTTAAAAGTTGCTTTGGTTCTCTTTCCCACTAGTGTGTTTAGTTCATTGGACCCAGAGCTTTGTTTCCACAGGCCCACTCTTCTGGTGTTAGGGCAGAACCTGAGATACCGTAATAATTTAACAGAAATACACAGGCCCAGCTGAGGGTCCAATTTTGCTCATTTACCTGATCAAATGTGTACTAGGGCTTTATACACTTGAGGTGAGCACTCTACCACTGAGCTACCTTTGAACTCATCCTGTAGCTTAGGCTGGCCTTTGATCCCCCCGCCTCAGTTCCTAAGCAATATCTAAGTAAACTCTTGTTACTTGTTACACTTTGTAATTAGGTGCTGTTTTAGCTCCTATGATTTGTTTATCAGCTTCTATTGTTTGTTTATCCTCACCAGTTCCCACTGGGTTAGTTTCATAATTTTCAAAATTAAACAACAACAAAACAGCACCAGAGTCTAAAAGAATACCTACTACATAACAGTTATTATTCTTCCTAAAATAAGGAAAAAGAACTATCCACCAAGCCAGGTGTGGCAAGGCACGCCTGTAATCCCAGCACTCTGGGAGGCAGAGGCAGATGGAGCTCTGTGAATTTGAGGCTAGCCTGGTCTACACAGTGAGTTCCAGGACAGCCAAGGCTACACAGGGAAACCCTGTCTCAAAAAACCAAAGAACTATGTACCAAATAAATCTGTAAAGGCTGAAGGGAGCTGGTGTGTGTGTGGTGGCTCATCCATCTTTAGATGCTGAGGCAAGAAAAAAAAAAAAAAAAAAAAGCAACCTTGAGTTTGGAGTCAGCCTGGCCTATAGAGTAGGGATATGTCTGAAGCTGGCTTGGTGGTGCACATCTTTAATCCCAGCACTTGGGAGGCAGAAGGAGGTAGATCTCTATGAGTTCATGGTTAACCTGGTCTACAGAGTGAGTTCCAGGACAGCCAGGGCTACACACAGAGAAACCTGTCTCAAAAAAAAAAAAAAAAAAAAAGAGAGAGAGAGAGAGATTATGTCTGAGAAAGATAGAGAGAAGCTGAGGGGCAGAAGGAGGTGCTGAGGGGCATTTGGATGCTGAGGGAGGCGTGAGCATGCTGCACAGAAAGCTGAAGAAGCCCTTGGGAAGACGTGTACCCGAACTCGGTTGACGCCACCATAGTGGGGCACCATGGCCAGCTCCAGCTGAGGCTTCCGCTCTTCTTCATCGTCTTCATCTTCCTCCTCATCGTCATCACTGCCCTCTGAGGGTGGCGGCCTAGTCCCATGGAGATTGTGCATCCGAAGCATCATCAGTCTGAGGAAGCAAAGCATGGATTAGAAACTGAGTGCCAGGATGTTTAGGAGGGAGGCTAGGCACCCAAACTTTTAGTTCTGGCAGAAGCGGAGGGCCCTGAGGGCGTCTTGAAAAGGTCCTGGGTCTCACCTATTGCTCTGGGCGCTCTCCGCCTGGGTTCCCGCACACAGGTAAAGACTGAGAGGGAGCTCTGTCCGGTTGTCACCCAGGTGATCTCGGACTATGTCAAAGCTGAGACAAGGTGCGCCTAGGAAGGAAGAAGAGACGGTAGAGTTGCAGAGTGAGTACGAGACACTGAGAACTCGATCTCCACCTCCAACAAAGGCCAGAATTCCACAGGGTTATGTCACAACCCTCAGACTCCAGACCCCTCATGCCATAGGCTCCAAGTCAGGCCTTCCATCTCCCTGGCAGTCAGGGCCCTCCACCTACCAGTTTGCGCACGATGGTACAGCACGTAGGCCTCCTCATCCATCACCAACTCCTCCCCTTCGCCTGGTGGCGGCCCTTTGCCGGGCAGGTAGACCTGGGATGGGCCCTCGGATCCTGGTTCGCCGGATTCAGCCTCCATGGATTCCTCAGTTTCACATGTGCGCCTCCGGCCCTTGCGCGCCGCCATCTTCGAACCTTCTTGCCCCTGACGCGAAGTAAGAGCGTCACTTCCGGGTTTCCTTGTCACTGTCTAAGACCCGTCCCACCGTACTGTTACCTTGGAAATCTGGGGACCAGCAATAAGAAAGTGGTGCGCGGAGAGATGGCCAACCCCAAATAACGATGTCCTGTTTCAGTAATAAGATTTATATTAGCAGAGATTTTTGTCTTCCGCGTGACCTTGGGGAGTTCTCCCGGGCAGCAGTGGCAAGGCCTTCTGGGAGTTGTAGTTCTACAGGAGTCCTCGACCCCAGAGCCCTTCTCCATCTTCCACCTTTCATTCCCAGGGTTGTCTTTCCACTTAGTCAATTATTCATGTATGTAAACGAGCACTTACTGGCAAGGAGACTGGGCTTCTGTTCCCCGAGGACGCATAAAGCCGGTTTCTTCTCCTCTTCTTGTTATGATAGCTCTAAATTATTTCAAAATGCTTTAGGGCAGACAGGCTGGACTTTATGCATAAATTAGTGGATTGAATCTATTCTCCAGGGGCAGTCCATTTCCCAACCAGCATTCCCGTGGCAGCTCTGGTCAGCAGGCACTTAATCAGAAAGTCTCTCGTGAGGCTACCGCTACAACTGTGCCCACTCTATTCACACACGTGCACCACGAGTTTTGGTTAATTGGAGTAAATGAAATGTTGGAAATGGGTCTCCCCTGTGAGATGAAGGGCATTCAGGATGTGGATTGGCCACTCTCTTCCTTTGCATAAGACAGCCAGTCAAGCCACTCTTGCCAGTAGGCTTAGGAACGGGGCTCTAGACTTGATCCTCATTTCTGCATCCCTTATTTACCACTACCTTGGGGGCGTCTCTGCCCTGCCACTCTCCTCCTCTCTCTATTCCGGTCTCTCGCCACTTCCTGGGCCTTGAATATGATTTCCCCCACCTGTTTTCTAGGACTGGGGATTGAACTCATGGGGTTATGGAAGCTAGAACATTCTGCCACTGCCACACCACCAGCCCAATTTCTGTTGTCTGACTGTCTTCCCCATTCCATTTTCTCCAGAGAAGCTGAAGGCTTCTAAGAGACAGACACAGAGCTCAGGCTTGGACTGAGGAGGCGTAAAAACATGGTTTTATTCCAAACACTGCAGTGTAGGAGTGGGAAAGGGAAGGAAGGGTCAAGTGTGGGCTCCTAGACCCTCCTCTTGGCCCAGCTCAGACCCTGCTGAGACCTGGGGAAGGAGGCCTGGGGCGGAGTGTCTGCTGGATCACCACTGAAGGGTCACAAGTAAGGGCCGGACTTGAAGATGTGGTTGGTAGCCTCTGGGGCGGTAGGTATGTGAGGGGGGCAGGTGAGGGTAGGACTTTCGTGGGGGATAGGCCATAGGTCAGAGCCAACAAGGATCTAAAAGGAGGGGTCTCCGAGGTCTAACATGAAGGGTCACAGTCTGGTCGGGGCACAGTCTGGGGTCAGATGATCATTTTAGGTGTTGGAAGTCACAGTCTGGGGTCAGGGGTTTCTGTGTGGCGGGGCCAAGGTCTGGAGTCACAGTTTGGCGTACTCGTCTCACAGTTTTGAGTCCTGATGAATGAAAGGTTAAAAACAGGCTCCCTGGGAGGTGTGTCTGGGGTCAGGGAGCTGCACAGTGATGTGAGGGTCATGGCCCCAAGCGTAAGGGTGGGGCGTGGCGTGACTCCCACCCACACCTCCGGCCAAATCAGGTGACATTAAAAAGCCCTTTTCGGGTTTTTGTTTTTAAAAAAAGAGTCGGTGGGCTCCAAGAGCCCCGCCCCCTTGCTCTCAGGATGGGTGAGATTTGGGCGACCAAGTCCCCTCTGGCTCATGGTTCCCCCAAGGCGAGGAGGGGGGTGGGGCGCAGGACGCTGCTCCAGGCGGGGTCCGGCCAGGTCCGTTTCTGTCTTTCCCAACCCATGCGGGTCCTGTCCACTTAGTGCGCCCCCTCGGGCCGTGGCCTGCGCTGACCGAGGGGGTGGCGGGGGTCTCCCCGGAGCCGCGTCATACCTCGGACTCCAGGCTGGAGAAGTGCGCAGAGCCCCTGCGCGTGCCCAGGTCCCCGCCCCGGTGTCTCCGGTGCGGTGCGGTGGGCAGCGGCGGCCCCCAGTGCGCAGCGTGCGGGCAGCGGCGCGCGTGGCGCGAGGGCCCGGTAAGCCTGCGCGTGGGGGCCGCCCGCGGGCAGGAGCTCAGGTCCTCGAGGGATCGCGAGGTGGGCGCGGGCGGCGGGAGGTCCCAGCCGCCCGCTGCGCGCCTGTGGCGGTGGTGGTGCGGGGCCGCGGGCGCGCGGTGCGAGGCCCGCGGGCGGTGCGGGTGCGGTCGCGGGCAGCCACAGCGCGCCCGGCGCCGGGGCGGGGGCCCAGCGGCCCAGGGTGGGGGCGGAGGCGCCCACCAGCCGCCGTCTAGGCCGTCGTGCGAGCAGCTGAGGTGGCGCGGCGGCGGCAGCAGCTCCAGGCTGGCGCAGTGGCGGCAGTGCCACGCCGGGCCGCCGCGCGGGGGCAGGTAGTCCCAGCTGCCGGCGCGCCAGCCCCCGAGCTTGTCGACCGACCAGTAGCGGCCGGGCGGTGGCCCGAGGCGCTCGGCGTATGGGTAGGGGAAGTCAGCGAACCACCAGGGCTCCAGGCCACCGAGCGACGCTCCGCCCAGGCTCTCCGAGTCCTCGGAGTCCGACGGCGACGGCTCGAGGTCCAGGTAGGCGCACGGTGGGGGCGCGGGGCGGCGCGGCG